AATGATTTTGCGATATGCAACCATTTTCAGTGGGTAAAACATCTTGTATTTAGAAGCCCATTTCAACAAATGGACAACATCTGATTATATGTGCTGCTGTCGAAAAAGAAATAAATCAATTTGTGTTAACATTTTTTAAGTTTCTTTAAATTTAAATTCAGAACAATTGAAGGACAACAGCACAGTATAGGAAAAAGAATCCTGAAATAGGGTCAAGAGATCTTGTATCATAAGTCCTCTTTATATATTTTTTAAAAGGCATTGAGTAGATCGCTAACCTGCTCGCTGCCTGTGTTTCACTTTTACAGCAGAGATGATGACCCCTGTTAGAAGATAACAGACATTGGGGTGCCTGGGTGGGGCAATTGGTTAAGCATCCAACTCTTGGTTTCATCTCAGGTCATGATCTCAGGGTTGTGAGTTGAAGCCCTACACTAGGCTCTGCACTAGCTGCAGAGTCTGCTTGAGATCCTCCTCTTCCCCCCCACCCCCCGCCATGGCTTCTTTCTCTAAAATAAATAAGTAAATACTTTAAAAGAGAGAGAAGATAATAGACATCAAAGTATTTTCAAATATAAAAAACACACTTGGGTAGACATACAATGCTATTGCTCTCATTCACAAATTCCCTTCTTCCTTGGATAACATTTTAGATATGAATGTAGCCCCCATCCCTCATTAAAATCACCCCAAAATTCATGGAAATAGAAATATGAAACATGATATGAGAAACATTTTTTAAGATTAAACCTACATGAATGCTTTTTGTAACTGTAAAATACACACGTATACTGTTTACATGTAATTCTTAAATTGTTTTAAAGACTCTTAGAAGGGCACCTGCCTGGCTCAGTAGGTTTGAGTGTCCGACTCTTGGTGTTGGCTCAGGTCATGATTTCAGGGTTCTGAGATCAAGCCCCACGTTGGGCTCTGTACTTTGTGGGGAGTTTCCTTGTCCCTCTCCTCTGCTCCTCCCCCACTTGTATTCTCTCTCTCTCTCTCTTTCTCTCTCTCTCTCTTTCTCTCTCTCTCTTTCTCTTTCTCTCTCAAATAAATAAGTAAAATCTTTTAAGACATAAAATAAAGGGGCTCCTGAGTGGCTCACTGGATTGAGCGAGCATCTGTCTTTGGCTCAGGGTGTGATCCCGGGGTCCTGGGAGCCCCACAGGGAGCCTGCTTCTCCTTCTGCCTGTGTCTCTGCCTCTCTCTCTCTGTATCTCTCATGAATAAATAAATATAATCTTTTAAAAATTAAAATTAAATAAAGACTCTTAGAGTTAACCAAAATAGCCTGTTGTGAATTTCACTCTTATCATATCGCTATAATTTTCTTCTACAAAAGAGAATACAGTACAGTGGGAAAGTATTTGTATGGAAGAATTGTGCCTGGAATATGCAAACATTACTTAGTGGTATCTCTGCCCATCTTTTGCCATCAAATACCACCTCTGCCTTCTGTTTTCTTGATCTAGTAGAAAAACATCTAGCCTGTGGCCCTCACAGAAGCCACATTTCACTTTCTTCAATATGGATTCTCAGCCCCCTGGCAGACAGACGGGTGTATCATGGTGTCCCCTTCGTTATCAGAAGGTCTGGGTTTAAGGGCAAACTCCACTATTTGCCTGCTTGAAACCTTAAATTCCCCCAAAGCCTCAATTTTCTCAGATCTAAAATTTTAAAAAAAGTAGTCATAGTAAGTATTCATTGGAATCTTTGTGAAGATTCAATGAGATAAAGCAGGTGAAGCACCAGCACAACATTTGATACGTGAGACATGTTTAATGAATGTTTTATTAAAAAAAAAATACTGCATCATGATGTTCTAACACCACCTTCCTGCCAGCTGATACTCTTCACCTAAGCTATCTGCCCAGGGGTTGAGGGACTCTGAAGAGCACAGAGCTCCCAGCCACCCCTTGACACTCTCCACCCAGCCTACTTGGTCATGCGTAAACCAAGGATCACTTTTTACCATTCATGAGTAGTGGCACCAAATGCCTTCCATTGGGGTCAGATCGCCTTTCCAACTCGGGTGTTGGAAGAATTGGGCTCATCCTTCTGTATTTACATATGTATTTTATTTCCCTAATCTTTCCCTTATTTGTCTGCCAAGACCTTCCCGTAGTGTTATTGCACAAGCGCTCAGTAATTTCTCGAGCAATTTTTACTTTTATGAGTTTGCTACCTCCCTTTGCCTCCCCCTCTCTCATTCTTGGAACTAGTTTTACTAACATCTTGAATTTGTATAAAAATCTCAAGTTACACATAATGAGGGTCAAGAGCATTACTAAATAGCAAACACCAAGATTTTCAAAGTCCACGGTATCCTAAAACCAAACAACTTGTTGGTCTCTGTTTTCAGTGCAGTGTTAAACAAGATATAATATTATTTGGTGTATGGTTCTCATTATACAGCATGTTAAGTAGAACTGGAATTTCATTTTAATGAGATTTTCTGTAAGAAAAAATATATAATAAAGTTATTGCCTATCTGACAAAAAAAAATAGCTCTCTAAACACAAACATAACATTACTTTCTAACACTTGACACCTGTGCAGGATTGCGTGGATTATCTCTCTTCTTCAAAGTCTATTAAAACCAATAATATAAACAAATTTGTCATTCAGGAAGACTTTTTATGTTACATAAAAGCTCACAATGATGATAAATTATTTTGTGTATAAGTTGACCCTTTTGGAATATTTATCATTGCTATGCCAAAGTATGTCTGTCAAAGCTTTCACTGTATGCAGAAAGAGCTCCCATTATTTTACTCAAAAATTGCTGAAATATACCTAAAACCTTGAAAAATGTATGAAGTGATAAATGTTTAGAAAGCACCTGACATTTTGCCACTCAAACACTATGTAATTTAATGCAAAATGACATATGAAGTTATCCCTCCTTACAAGTTGACAGTTTGTGAATTCAAGAATTCTATAACATATATCTTAATCCTTGAAAAAACAGAGTTTGAAAGGAATTGTTGGCAGATTATAACTTAAGAAGGGGAGTATATACATTTGTTAAAAATATACAGGGTAGATGTAGCTATGTTTGTATCTATGTTTATGGTGATTCTTATTATAGCATAATTTTATGTCAGGAGTTGTTAACAGAAGAATGTGAAACTTATAGAATGCCCTCAAGATTCAAAAAAGCTGGAATCTTTTTTTTATAACTTTAATTAAATAAATAAAATACTAGTGGACTTTTACTCAACTGCTTTTCACATACTATTATGCTAATATAGTCATTAATTACTTATAACACTTTATTCTTCATTATTTACTTGTTTTACATTTATTAACTTTTCCCTTAAATTACTATATTTTTATCCACAACAGTGTTTTCTTAGATCTGAAAACATCAGAACATAGATTTCGTTTATTTGACAGTTATTAAGGCCTACTTGGGCACTATATAAAGTCCATGAGATACAAAAGTGAATGAAAACAGTCTTGCAGAGATGCTTAACCAAGTCGGGGAAGGCTACCCCACAAAATTGGGGCCTACCATCTGAGCGATGAATGAGTATTTTACAGTGGATCAAGAGCATAACAGGTAGAAGGAACTATTTATTGAGAGGTAGCATGATCTGGTCAGGTGAGTTCAAATAGTTCAGTAATCTGGAGTCTGGAATAAATAAATGAAGTACTGATGTACTAAGAACAGTCCTACTATGTACCAGCTGTCCTTAACATACTCTCATAGACTTATCCTGTCTTGAAAGTTCCTATAAGTTAAGGAAGGTAGGTTTAGCCAAACTCACTTTTTAAGTAAAACTGATGTTAATAATGTTCTATCATTTGTCCAAAGTTAAATCCTAAATTGAGGATTAGACCAAAGTCTAACTCTGTCTAAAGCCCTTGCTCTTTGTACTGTGGCAGTTTAACTGTTACTATATATATTGCATATTTAATAAAGGCTTGCCTTTTGTAGTCATCACACTGTTTCTAACAATACATCCTGGACACTATGTCTTTCTTCCCTAGTAAATTGCAGTCTGGATGCCGAAATGTCAAATAATATCCAAAAAAGTCTTTCGTGATACAGTAATACTACCCTCACTGGATTTCCCTAAGGATATTTAGCCTCTTTAGGTATTAATTCTGAAACTGTATTTTGTGAAACACAAATGAAAGTTAAGTTGAGGGTTAATGGCCAAAATTACAGGGATTATCTTTGTAAATATTTCAAATAAAGTAAGAAAAATACTATTAAAAGTTTTAATTAAAAATTTTTAAAAATAAAAAATTTTAATTATATAATCTTCTATATAAAACTATATAATTATAGTCTGAATCTATAATATAAATTGTAGTCTTACAATTGTCTATTTTCTAAATATTTTGAATAAAGAAAATTAGTAAACACATTTGTAAAATTTTTATAAATTTGCAAGATTTTCAGACCCACATCAGAAACTGTACATGAAATTACCTAACATGTAGTATGTTGCTTCATCTGTGCCTTGATGAATTGAATGTCATAAACTCATCTTAAATCTAGAATATTCAAATATTACAATATTTTGTGCATCTAAATCCACTCTGATCATTTCATATGCCAGCTAATTTATCTGGGAGACCAGTTACTTTTTACCTTCATCCAAATGAATAGGTCATGTTTCTTGAGAATATAGGGATGCTGCAACTAAGTATTACACATGTGCAAGTGGCTTGTGGTCAAGCACGTTTGGCGGAGGCTGCTCTAGAGCATTCTCACGCTTACTTAAGTGACAGTGAGGCGTGGACTCAGACAAAGCAGAGCAGATAATGGTATATTCTAATCCTATCGATATTGTACTGCATTGTTACCTACATTGCATTTGTGTGAGGAACTGTTTCTTTTCTAGTTTTTAAAATGCAGTGATCTTTGTTGTTTCAGAACATGGAAATTTTAACTTTACATATGAATCTTGTTATCAACATGTTACCATTTGCTATACTGGCTAAAAACAGCAGACCTTTAAACAACTTGTATTCTTTGCCCCCAGCAATGCATCTCTTTGGCCTCAATTGGCAATTACAGCAAACTGAAAATGACACATTTGAGAATGGAAAAGTGAATTCTGATACTATGCCGACAAACACTGTATCATTACCTTCTGGTGACAACAACAATGGTAAGAGAAAGAATTCTGTGTCTTGTGTGTTTCTTTAACATCTCTTTTCCATAAATTTATTTTTATCCATGTCACATCCCGTTATATCGGGGAGAGGGAAAAGATTTTGAAATACAGATGTCATCTTTTAATGAGGGGTTTTTATTCATTTACTTGAAAGATTGGAAGTTCACAGTTTTATTAGAGGAATAATGCAGTTTTCTGCTTTCAGATTTGATGGCTAGACTTTTCCAGCTTTCCCTCTTGCAAGTGGGTATTTTGTTTTATTTTTAGCCTGTAAATAGGCTACAATTCAGTATATCATCTCAGATATTATATCTTGGGTATATGAAGCTTTTCTCATTCAACTAGCATATGGAGTTGAAATACCATATTAATTTTGTTATAAAAGCTTTGAAATACAAAACACATTAAAGGATATAATTTAATGACCTTTCCTCTGCTTGCCCTTTCTTCTGTAAACCTTCAACAAAGTTTGCACTTTGGGTTAACAGACTTTCACATCCTTTGGTTCTGAATTTAAAACAGGCTTTAAGTTTGAGAATGCTTTCTTTCATTTTTCCATATAAAAACCCAGGAAAATGTATATATACATGTGTATATTTATATTATAATTACCTGTGTTATTTTGATATGAGTGTGTGTGTGTGTGCGTATCTTTTGACACTTGGCATCCTCTGACTTTTTGCAAAACTCGTAATACTTTATATCTCAAAACAACCAGAGCAAGATACCTTTTTTTGTCATGTAAATATATCATCTACCTTTAAGCATTTCCCAAGCTTTTCTTTCCCCTTTGTTTCTTCTTATCTCATGTATTTGTATTCTGCTTTGGCATCAATTATGTTCATCCTCATGTGGGTAGTTTCTTTGAAAGACTAGAAAGAAGCTATTGTGTATTTATAGATAATATATATTTATTTATATTTATATATACACTGCTGTTTCACATGGACCCATTCACCATGACTAATGCTTTTATCTTTTTTGGTTGTTGTTCTCTGTTTTCTCATCTTCTGTTTTATTTTAACAATAATGCTTTATGGCATTTCTCTTTCTTCTTAGGGGGCCTGAGGAATTTTAGAAGATGTTAGATTTTCATCATCATAATAAATACCCTTAGCCCCACACCTGTATGAAGCCTTTTGATATAAAGCTCCATGTGTCCCAAGAAACAATAAGCTGGTGACTAATACGTCACCACACCTGAAGACATTAAAACTGTAGGTGGGGGAAATTTCAATTAAGTAAACAATTGTTTAGTTTTTTTATACGCTGATAACACAGAGGAACTGATCAAGTAACTACACAGAAATTAAGAGCATTTATTTTTGGTTTATGTAGATTGAAATGTAGCCTTTCTCTTAAAGTAGATAGTTTCTGCAAAAAGAGCCTGATGGCACTGACCACATACGGAGGGATTTTTTTTTTTTTACAGACTCAAAAAATTAGACTAAAATGAGAAAGGCTTATTATAGACATGTTTTATTTTACAACCTCCTAAGCTTTTATTATGGTTAAGACAAAAATGGAGCACAACTAATTAGTTTCACAGTACTTGAGCAGCACCTACTAAGAGAGCGATGAATTGAGAGGTGCTCTCACAGCCTAGTACTGGTTCCTGGTATTCGTCGGTTACTTTGTAACCTTGGTCAAGGTGCTTAGTGATTCAGATCTGCAAGAAGATTTTAGGACAATCCTAGAATATACTGTCCGGGATCATAGCAGATCCAGGCATTACAAGAGCATCAGTGCACATGGCCTCAGAAATTCTTCAGAACTAACAGAGTTGTAGACCGTTTTCTAGTACTGCAGTGAGAAATGCATGTTATGTCACGATCCACAGACCCCTGCACACATACATCTGAAATACGCTTCCCAAAATAATGCTTATCCTTATTTCATGAAATGCACCCTGGTTTCCTTACTCTTTTGGGTTTCCGTTTATACCAGTGCTTGTTGACACTCACTCAAAGGATTTCACACTTTACGAGGGATTGTGGTCCACAGTTTCCAAAACACTGCTCTGAAAGCCCTTCCCTCTAGAAGAGACTGAGGTTCCCCCACAGGATTATAGAATGCACTGCGTACAAGTGATGTGTGCCTATAGAACTATATATACATGAAAGCAGGGTTCCTTCTTCCTACCCTTGTAAAGAAGCCCCCCACAGAAGGAACCAGAAACAAATGTCCCAGGGTGAGTTAGGTACCCTGGAGAAAAACTGACCTTCCAGCCTGCCAACAGGCCTGGGGGTTCATAGACATTTCTCCTTGTGGAAGGAAGGCTATCTCTGGGCTCAGACCTTGTCCACAAAATGTGAACTAATTAGTAGTCACTTGTCTTGTTTATTATTTCTCGAAGAGCAACCCCCTCAAAAAAAAAAAAAACCAAACTAAATTGTAAGAAATCCTTATTTCTGTTTTTCCAAGTAAAGATTCTTGGTGTGTATCTCTTAAATACTTATGGGGCTCAGGGGGACATGAGGGGACTATATTTACAAGAAGGAGGGGGTAGCTTAAAATCATGGCTTTTAAACCTCTGTGATGATCCTGCACTGTCCATACACCATCATCCACTGCCTCAGTTTTATAAACTATCCAGAGAAGCATATCACATCATCTCTTTAGAAATTCTAGATTACAGCCCTTAGGAGAGCCTTAGAATTCTGAACAAAGCTCACTAGGAGAATTAACTGTGCTAAACATAATGAGACCATTGATTCACAGCTTGTAAGTACAATACTTTTGTTTTTGCAGTCCTATTTTATTCTTACTTTATAAGCATAATTATAAGGAACAGTCATGGTGCTAAGGCTTCAGTAAACTCCCTGCTTGCTTTTAAGCTCATTTGAACAGAAGCTTCTAAGTGGTATTTAGTATATAAAAGGAGAATTTCTGTTGTATGCTCTGAGCTTTTACCGATTATTCCCTAGACCATCTTTGACTACAAATTTTAGAGATGGGATGTCAGATGTGTGGGGTCTCAGGCAATGGACAATGTGAATGAAGAGGTGAGAATGAGGTTTTTGAACTTCTAATACCAGTCTCTCTCCAGAAACTAAAATTATTCCCCTGGACCAAGAAATTCGTTTAGCTTAATGTACTGGAAAGAATCACACAGGCCTATATTCAGATCCTAGCTCCTTCATTTATTTATTTTGTAACCTTGAGCAAGTTACTTAACCTGTTGGAGCCTCAATTTCCTCACATGTAAAGAGGGAATCATAATCCCCATCTCCTAGCTCACTGACTGCCGGCAATCTGGTAGGCCTACTCCATTTCCCTTGCAAACTCCCTTCCATTCCACACTTGTCAGCAGTGGTTCCAGATCGTCTTACGGTACTCAAAACCCCAGCCCTCTCAACAGATGGACCTTTCTATTCAACAACAAATGGAAACCTTCTTAGGAAGTTCTCTTTAATTTCTTGTAAACAAATCTCCATTCCCATGTGTGACTGGACCTGTGCTTTGATTCTCTTTGCCCTGTATTCAAGGCTCATCTTTCCATGAGTATTCTCAATCCCATTCTGGATCTTCAAAAATTTACCCCCTGTTGCCACCTGTCATCAACATGTGAGCCTACTGAGGCCTCTCAACATCTTAAAAAAGAAAACAAAGAAACCCTTGACTCTACTTCCTGCTCCAGCTCTACCCTGTTTTCTCCTTCTCCCTTCACATCCAAGGAGCACAGCATCTGTATTCACCTCATGCATTTCTTCACTTTCCATGTACTCCTTTGTCACAGCTCTTCTCAACCACCAGGCGTTGAAACCAATGCTTTCGAGGGTTGTCAATTGCTGTGTCAGTAGCATCAGTGAACACTCTTCAATCTTTATCATATTTGAATTCTTGGTAGTATTAATAGTAAGCCTAGCCCTCCTAATTGAAATGCTCTTCTCTTTTAGCTTCCGTGGTACTGCATTCACCTTGGCTCTCTTCCTGACCCTTTGGCAGTGACTTCTTGGTTTGTTGAGTTGACTCCTCTTTCTCTGCCTGTTCCCCCCACATTGGCATTACTCAGGACTCTGCTCTTTTCAGAATATGATTCCTCTGGGTTCTCTTATCAGCTCTCCAGGTGTCCATCACGTTCTGTGTGCTCTGTGCTATGTTACATTCTGGGTGCTCCCAAATCAATATTTGCAGCATAGATATTTCTGTCTCTTTGAACTCCATATAATCAACTATGTAAAATCTATCCTAGTACCTTTGGAACTTATCCACCTGGGTGTCGTCCAAGCATCTCAAACTTCATGAGTCTAAGACTGAATCCTTCAACTACTTTGGCTCTCTATGACTACATAATAAGGCATATCAAGATTGAGTGGCTTAAGAGAACAGTTGATATCACCTCTTATGATTCTGTAGATTGATTGGGAAATTCTTATGTTTGTGCCTGGGTGTTTCATGCAGCTGCTTTCAGATGTCAGCTGGGGCTGTTGGAAAGCTCCACTGAGCTGGAAGTCTAAGGTGGCTCATTCTCATGGCTGGCGGTTGGTGCTATGTGTTGGCTGGAGCTCAACTGTGGCTGTTGACCAGAGCATTCCATGCAGCTTGGACTTCTCAGCACATAGCAGCTGGTTCTGGAGAGAAGTATCCCAAGAGGGAGCATTCCAGGAGACCCACACAGAAGTTATGAACCTTCTCACATTGGACATTGGACACGATGTCACTTCTACTACATCTTCATGGTCAGGAAAGTCAGTAAGATCAGCTCAGATTCATGGGAAAGGAGAATTAAACTTTCCCTTTTGTGTGGGGAAATGGCAGGGATTCGTTTCATAAGAGCATGTGGGATGGAAGATACTGTGGTGGCCATCCTTTGGGAAATATAAGTGCCGTATCATCTCTCTTTCCAGATGTGTCTTTCTTTCAGGGCTTTTTGTGTCAGGAAATGACATCATCATTCACCTAGTTACCTGGGCCAGAAGTTTAGGAGTCATGCCTAACTCCTCTCTCACTTACATATGCAATATCTAGTTCTGTGTGTTCCAAGTCCACAG